GTGTGTGTGTGTGTGTGTGTGTGTGTTTCATATTTTGTAACGCCGCAGTTGGTACAAATGAATTTATATAACATATTATGTCTATTCTTGCATTTTTGGAAATAAGTCGTTTACTGCTGGTCGTTGATTGAAATTCCTATGTCAGTGTCCATCACTTTACAATCACTTTCCAAATATTTTCCAATCACTATATTATAATCATTTTACAATAATTTAATATCCATTCTATAATCATTTTGTTATTATTTTGCAATCACTTTACCATCTTTTTAGATAATTCTCAAACCACTTTGTAACCATTTTAGATTATTCTACAATCACTTTACAATTATTTTAGATAATTCTACAACCACTTTGCAACCATTTTAGATAATTCTACAATCACTTTACAATTATTTTAGATAATTCTACAATCACTTAAAAATTATTTTAAATAATTCTACAACCACTTTGCAACCATTTTAGATAATTCTACAATCACTTTACAATTATTTTAGATAATTTTACAAACCACTTTGCAATCATTTTAGATAGTTTACAATCACTTTACAATTATTTTAGATAATTCTACAACCACTTTGCAACCATTTTAGATAATTCTACAATCACTTTACAATTATTTTAGACAATTCTACAATCACTTTACAATTATTTTAGATAATTCTACAACCACTTTGCAATCATTTTAGATAATTCTACAATCACTTTACAATTGTTTTAGATCATTCTACAACCACTTTGCAATCATTTTAGATAATTCGACAATCACTTTACAATTATTTTAGATAATTCTACAACCACTTTGCAACCATTTTAGATAATTCGACAATCACTTTACAATTATTTTAGATAATTCTATAACCACTTTACAACCATTTTAGATAATTCTCCAATCACTTTACAATTATTTTAGAACATTCTACAACCACTTTGCAACCATTTTAGATAATTCTACAATCACTTTACAATCATTTTACAATCCAACAGGTGTGGGAACTGACCCAGGGGGAGCCCCGCCAAGACATGCACATGCCGGTGGGAGAAGTTCACCCCACGAGAGATGGGAGGTACCTGGCCATTCTCAAAGGTAGGCAGGCTGTTGGAATGTTTCTCTGGCTGTCTGTCTGTCTGTCTGTCTTTCGTTGTTGCTGCTTCTTGCAACCAAATCCTTTCTGTCTTCCTTTCTTTTCTCTTTTCTTGTTTGTTTCTTTGTTTTTC